GGAGCAATTTTTTCTGGAATCCCAAATCATGGCCTACGCAGAATCTCATACCCATGCCAGTAAAGTTTCGAACAATTGTCTACACCCTTTATCCTTAGCAAGTGGAGATATTTCCGGCAGTAACTTCCAACTTCAGTTTATTTTCTTGGGTTTTAGTCGCTTTAGCCTGGAGTTCGACCCGTTGCATACCTTTTTTTTTTTTTTTTTACCTACGTAAATTACCTGTTTTATCTTGGCATTTTACATGAAGAAGAGCGTGCGTTTGATTAGAATCTATATTGTGCGTCCCCACATATGTCAGCAGGTAGAGTGACTTTTGAGTCTTCTACTTTTGCATTTCTTGAATACAACAAACCTTTCATCAACAGCCACACAAAATTTGAGAAAATGATACAAGAAACATGGGCTTTTAAAGTTTTGCATGAATGGTGTATGAATATGTTGTCTCCCCCCCCCCCCCGCCCCTCCTTCTGCCTCTTTTCACTGATTTTAAAATGGTAAAGATACACGTTAAATGCTTTACAGAGTTGACTTGACGAAATGGACTTGGACATTTCTCTCAATTTATTCGCTGGACAGTTACTGGCAGGCTATCTTTTTGCACGCATAATATGGTACGGCAGAATAGCGCATCACTCCATTAAGACTCATGATTTCCGGCTAAAAATTATAATTTTAGAGCCGTACACAGGGTTAATAATGAGAAGAGTCAAGAGCAGCGCAAAAATTGGGCATTCTCCTGCCTGAGTATTTCGAAGATGGATGGCTAACCAAGAGAAAGCCCTTTTCTGAGACGGAACTGGGAGAGAGCGAATAACACACTGCCTATTTCCGTCATGGTTTATTTTTCTTATTGATTTCAATCCCAATCATCAAGATATTCGTCATCGCTATCAACTGGTTTGGGAGTGGGACCCTGTCTCAAACGGCTGTCATTTTCATTGATAGCTCCTAAAGAGACAAGGAGCTTTTCAAGATCTACAGGTGAACAGGTTACCTGTCAGCGTTTATCCATCTTAGACATCGAAGTCATTACGGGGAGACCAAAATATAGACTGTTTACCGTCAAGGGTAGTTTTTGGCCCTCTAAGTTCCTTAAGAGTGACTAATTGCCTTTTGATGTCTCCATCCTTATAGGCAAGTATTGTCGGAGTATTCCGGTCTGGATAGCCCTCGATACACATATCTGCGCGTATCTCGCAGAACTTTATGTCTCCGTATTTCATCGCTAGCTGGCGCCACAGCTCAGTGAGAAGTGCGAC